AACCGGTGGTATGTACCTAGACATTGAAAGGCAACATATGAAAACTATATACAAAAGTAAAGATGCATCCGGGAAAAGCAGCCAAGAACGTGTCCATGCAGAGACTCTACGGTCAAATGGCCACTGAGAGGGGAGAGGGGAGGAACATATATATAGAAGACAGAATCCCGCAGTAGAATGCAGCAGATTCTCATGAGCGGCTCCGTCAGGAAGCGGGTAATGGCCCTTGGGCGCACTGGTATCTAAGAAGAAGGAAAGAAATGCAAAAAAAAACGGGAAGAGAAGGAAGAAAGGTCTAGAGGAAAAAGATGAAAACACAGAAAGGCGTTAAGAAATCAGAACCTCCAAGAATGTAAGCTACATTTTGGGACGCCCCTAAACCGGTGGTATGTACCTAGACATTGAAAGGCAACATACGAAAACTACAAAACTAAAGATGCATACGGGAAAAGAGCCAAGAACGTGTCCATGCAAAGACTCTACGGTCAAATGGCACCTGAGACAGGAGATTGGAGGAAAATATAAATAAAAGAAAGAAACCAGCAGTAGAATGCAGCAGCAGATTCTCATGAGCGGCTTCGTCAGGAAGCGGGCATTGGCCCTAGGGCCCACTGGTATCTAAGAAGAAGGAAAGAAATACAGAAAAGAACGGGAAGAGAAGGAAGAAAGGTCTAGAGGAAAAAGGGGAAAACACAGAAAGGCGTTGTTGAGAAACCGGAACCTCCAAAAATGTAAGCTACATTTTGGGACGCCCCTAAACCGGTGGTATGCACCTAGACATTGAAAGGCAACATATGAAAACTACAAAACAAAAGATGCGTCCGGGAAAAGCAGCCAAGAAAGTGTCCATGCAAAGACTCTACGAGTGTCCATGCAAAGACTCTACGGCAACTGAGAGGGGAGAGGGGAAGCACATAAAAATAGGAGAAAGAATCCAGCAGTAGAATGCAGCAGCAGATTCTCATGAGCGGCTCCGTCAGGAAGCGGGTAATGGCCCTGGGCCCACTGGTATCTAAGAAGAAGGAAAGACATACAGAAAAGAACGGGAAGAGAAGGAAGAAAGGTCTAGAGGAAAAAGGGGAAAACACAGAGAGGCGTTAAGAAAACGGAACCTCCAAAAATGTAACCTACATTTTGGGACCCCCCTAAACCGGTGGTATGTACCTAGACATTGAAAGGCAACACATGAAAACTACAAAACTAAAGATGCATCCGGGAAAAGCAGCCAAGAACGTGTCCATGCAAAGACTCTACGGCAACTGAGAGGGGAGAGGGGGAGGCACATATAGATAGGAGAAAGAATCCAGCATTAGAATGCAGCAGCAGATTCTCATGAGCGGCTCCGTCAGGAAGCGGGTAGTGGCCCTGGGCCCACTGGTATGTAAGAAGAAGGAAAGAAACACAGAAAAGAACGCGAAGAGAAGGAAGAATGGTCAAGAGGAAACAGGGGAAAACGCAGAGAGGCGTTAAGAAAACGGAACCTCCAAAAATGTAAGCTACATTTTGGGACGCCCCTAAACCGGTGGTATGTACCTAGACATTGAAAGGCAACATATGAAAACTATATACAAAAGGAAAGATGCATCCGGGAAAAGCAGCCAAGAACGTGTCCATGCAAAGACTCTACGGTCAAATGGCCACTGAGAGGGGAGAGGGGAGGCACATATAGATAGGAGAAAGAATCCAGCAGTACAATGCAGCAGATTCTCATGAGCGGCTCCATCAGGAAGCGGGTAATGGCCCTGGGCCCACTGGTATCTAAGAAGAAGGAAAGACATACAGAAAAGAACGGGAAGAGAAGGAAGAAAGGTCTAGAGGAAAAAGGGGAAAACACAGAGAGGCGTTAAGAATACGGAACCTCCAAAAATGTAAGCTACATTTTGGGACGCCCCTAAACCAGTGGTATGCACCTAGACATTGAAAGGCAACATATGAAAACTACAAAACTAAAGATGCATCCGGGAAAAGCAGCCAAGCAAGTGTCCATGCAAAGACTCTACGGCAACTGAGAGGGGAGAGGGGAGGCACATATAGATAGGAGAAAGAATCCAGCAGTAGAATGCAGCAGCAGATTCTCATGAGCGGCTCCGTCAGGAAGCGGGTAATGGCCCTGGGCCCACTGGTATCTAAGAAGAACGAAAGAAATACAGAAAAGAACGGGAAGAGAAGGAAGAAAGGTCTAGAGGAAAAAGGGGAAAACACAGAAAGGCGTTGTTGAGAAACCGGAACCTCCAAAAATGTAAGCTACATTTTGGGGCGCCCCTAAACCGGTGGTATGTACCTAGACATTGAAAGGCACCATATGAACACTACAAAACTAAAGATGCATCCGGGAAAAGCAGCCAAGAAAGTGGCCATGCAAAGACTCTACGGTCAAATGGCAACTGAAAGAAAGAAACCAGCAGTAGAATGCAGCAACAGATTCTCATGAGCGGCTTCGTCAGGAAGCGGGTAATGGCCCTAGGGCCCACTGGTATCTAAGAAGAAGGAAAGAAATACAAAAAAGAACGGGAAGAGAAGGAAGAAAGGTCTGCAGGAAAAAAGGGAAAACACGGAAAGGCGTTAAGAAAACGGAACCTCCAAAAATGTAAGCTACATTTTGGGACGCCCCTAAACCGGTGGTATGCACCTAGACATTGAAAGGCAACATATGGAATCTACAAATATCTACAGAACTAAAGATGCACATGTGAAAAACAATCAATATGGAAAGTTGAAAGCCACCTGGAAAGGCTACCAAAAGGTCAAAAGGCCTTGGAATGGCTCAAGGGCATGAAACTAGGTTGGGTTGTGGAGGTAAGAGATGGCCAGGGTGGCTGGGTCCTAAGAAAACCATAAGAAACGTGTAACGCTTATGGTTTTGTTATGATTTTGATATAGTTTTGATATGATTTTGGTATGGTTTTCCTTTTCCGAAGGATGGAGGCAGGTTCCCCAAAGCGACCTGGAAAGGCTACCAAAAGGTCAAGCTTTGGAGTTGCCCAAAGGCTTGAGAAAAAATAGCAAATCATACCAAAACAATAACGAAACCATAAAAAACATACTTTACATGCATGCTTCTGTCACTGGCTTGGAAGTCTTAAAAATAGCAGGAAGAAAAGGAAGACGGTCTAGAGGAAAAAGGTAAAACACAGAAAGGCGTCAAGAAAACGGAACCTCAAAAAATGTAGCTTACATTTATTCAAAAAATGTAACTTACATTTTTTAAGCCCAAAGTTGCAAAAAATGTAGCTTACATTTAGACAGGTCCCCCCCACTTAGGGGTGGGGATGGTGAGTGTGGACCGTGCACATGGGTCCGGATTGCTGGTCGGACACCGGGAGGCACGGCATGGCACTATTGACTATTCACACAAGGGTTTTGACGATTTTGAAGAGCTCTATTGTCATCTATGAATCTATAGTCTATATCTTTGTATATTATCCAAAGAATTACCTGATCACCACTCCAGAATCTAGAAACGGGACTTAGAAGGACCGCACTTTCTCTCTGTTTCATCTCCAGATCTAGTCTAGGGTGACCAACGCAGATGGCGGATGACTGTTGGAGCCCTGCGTAGCCCTGAACGTGTTCATCGGAGAACTAAACCCGTATGATCTTGTAGGATAAGTTGGCAGATCGTGGAAGCACGGTGGGCAACAGCTCAACAAAAACCACGGTAAAAACCACCAGCGCCTTGTCTCATTGCAAACAGTCATGCTTGAGAGAAAGCCTTTTGTCAGCAACGGGCACAGGTAGGGATGAATGTGAACGTGCATGAAACCATGACTCAAGCCCACAAGTGACAAGTAACAGCCAGCAAGGACACTCACAACAGCATATCAATAGAAGGATCGGGGTTCACAAGAAACATAAAGTGCAACATAACAGGCTTCAGTAACAGATTTCTTATGGAAGTGATGCTTTGACCTGGACTGTTGCACAAAACTGCGTCGGGATGCCATGCGTCTGGGGGTAAGAGGCTCGCGATGCCATGCCGCGTGCGAGTCCCAAGGGTGGTAGCAGCATTTTTGAAATCCTCAAGCTCATCCTAAATGCCATTGGAGTGGGTGCGATCCTTTGGTGGTGTGTGGCTTCCTGGCGGCTTCATAGCATCAACCCTGCGGCTTCCTCGGGTGAAGTCCATGTGCCTCGCGTGGGGAAGGGCCGCAAAAAGACGGCTCCAACGACTGTGGTGCCTGTGAGTGCGGAAGAGGAGCTTGGCCAGAGCAACCCGGACGCCCAAAGTGGCCAAAGCAGTCCTAAGGTGCCCCTTGGTGATCCTTTTTGGGTCTTTTGTGCAAGTCAATGGTCCCACTGTTGGTGTCATGGCGACATTCGCTGGGGCAACGAAGAGACTTGGCACATGATTCCTGCCAAGCCGGGTGAAGCGCAGAAGATCGAATGCAGCATTGATCACTTGCCAGATGTAGTGCCAGGCGACGATTTGAAGCATTGTGAATGCTTGATCACCCCAGGCACAGAAGTCTACAGGAGAACCAATCCCATGATCATTCACCAAGACGAAGCTGAACGTTTAGGTGCAACGCTGGTGTCTTCTTGTGAGCTCTTCTTTGAAGCACGAAAGGCGCAGGCCGTCGATATGGCCCAGTGGCTAGCAATGGAGGGCCTTTGCTCAGAGGCTTGGGACACCTGCCAATATCTAACATCTCAATTCAATTCATCACTTTTGTCAATGTCTTCTGGCCATCCGGGTTGGGGCTTTCCCCCAACCCAAGCCTTCTCATTTGGTCACGTAAGAGAGAAAAAGACAACCCCGTTTCGCCTCTGGTCTGTAAACCTAAACGCCCACTTGATCATCCAAAAGTTCGGTGAGGGGGTTGTTTCCCTTCACCTCAGATCAGAGTGGTGCATATACGTGGATTTTACCAACCCACTGCCCGCAGTCACCGGGTCGCACCCTTCGCTTCGTCGTAAGGAAGAGCAGGTGCGCTTCAATCGATCCTTGCGCGCGGGGCCTCGGCAGCTGAGCGTGGAGACACGACAACACCTATTCCGCGCTCGAGTGGATGTTCGCTTCAAGAAGATCATGGCACGCTTCAGTGAAAAGGGATGGTTTAAGCGTGGATGGGTCCATTGGATGCATTGGCTCTTATTGGATGCATTTGATTTTTGATTTTGATTTGATTGTGTAGATGGTGGATGTTCGATATGATAGGAGTACAGAAGGGAACAGCTCCTGTCTTCCATGCTGTCTACATCAGGTGACCTATGTCGCTGGAGATCCCTCAAGCCCGTTCGTCAAGATGGCTGAGGAGCTCATCAAATCCGTTCACTACTTCTCGTCTTGGCCGATCATTGTCTTCAACTTTGGCCTCGTGATGCCCGAAAGCTGGACCCCCGAACGCTTCCCACGCTTGGTGATTCTGCACTCCACACCCCTGCCCACGGAGGCACATTTGAAGAGGAGCTTCAACTTCAACAAGCTGAGGTCCATTTTGATGTCCAAAGTGCACACTGGCATTCAAGTGGATGTAGACCAATTTATTGCACCAGGGGCTGATATCCTTTTTCAGCTCACCGAGAAGTGGATCCACAAGGAGTATCCCTTTCCATTGATGCCTGCGCACTTTGCAGATTGGAGCATCAAGGACCAGCCCAATGCTCCTTGGTGGCCCAGGTATTGCCCTGATCCAGAGAAGCCATGCCCTATGCAGACCATGCGATGGGCCCATGCCCATCCAACATGGACCTATTGGGCCTTGCCGTTTTTTTGGTCGCTGGGTCCGTCGACACTTCCGGGATGAGCGCCTCCCCAACGTCACCCTGCGGGGCTTTCAAGCGCCCGGCTTGCGCGTGGGGGAGATTCCAGAGGACGAGGACATGCTCAACGTGGCCTTGTGGGAGGAACGTGCTACCCAACAGTGGTGCAAGTTCGACGTGCCGGCGACCGTGGAATTTGAATCCCTTCTCAACTGGAAGCCAAGTGATGGAGACCGATGTCTTCATGGCATAGGCTGCACCAATATTGGTGGAGATCAGCGCTGGTATGTTGAAGGGGTGCCCAAGGTCTATTGGACTGCTCACCACGCGGTGGATCCGGTGCAGACCTCAAAGATTCTAGAGCTCATCCGTGTAAAAGAAAGGGCCGGCAAGTGGCCACCTGCCATTGTCTACGACCAGAACTTCTGGAAGTCAGGGGAGGAGCTGCATGCAAAGCATCCTGAATTGAAGTGCTTGACATAATGTGCCGAGTTCCCTGTGGACTCATCCGATCGCACGAAGTCGACAAACGGGCTTCAGGTGTGTTCGCGTCAAAAGTGCCGTGGCGCTATCTTGGAAAGTGCTCAAGCACAGTCACCATGGAAGGTTAGTTAAGGTTACTTACCACTATATAGTTGCTGCCACCTCTCTAAAAAAACAAGACAATTGGTAGCCAAGCCAGAATGTGAGGGGTGTTAGTGGAGGACTATGGTATCGAAGCCCCGCAGTGCAGGTGGAGAAAGCCGCACTGCCAACGCAGCCCCGCAACTGGGACTGAAGGATCTGGGCCCATGGGCCTGAGAAGTGGCCTGAGAGTAGAAGACTAGACATTCTTAACATAGAGATGCTGGGAGGCACAGACCCTGTTGGCCAGCCCGTGCATGTCCATGCCGGTGCAAGGCCAGCGGAAGCGTCGCTCATCGCTGTCATTGCCGACAGGGACACCGCAGCGCGTCGGGCCCTTCAAGACCTTGGAGGAAGCAGCGCTCACGGCCACTTCGACGGCATACATATATATATATAACTCTCTCTCTCTCTATATATATATAGTGGATCCCTGCATGGATTTTTCAGTCAATTTAGGGCTACCAAAAGGAGATTGGACCTTTTCTTGAACTTCAGGCAGTTCCCTAGCCAGGGTTGGCGTGTTGGCGGTCGGCCTGGCACGGTGGTTAGCACGGGTTGAGCATTCGTGAGAAGCGGATGCGAGCGGATGAGTACTAGTAGCTTCTTGTTACTAGTAGTAAGGCACCTGTTACTAGTAGCGATGCACTTGTTACTACTAGCTTCTTGTTACTACTCCACACTAGGCCACACCCCAAATTCTGTGGCTCGCAAATGCTTTGATCCGGTGTTGACAGCTGCCTGGCGTCCTTCTCCAAACGAAACAGAGTACATCTCGCCATGCAGGTGACGATGGAGGTTTTGCCCAAGGGTGCCTTAGGCGAGTGCTGCTTTCACCCCAGGGACCTAGTCAGTCGCAATGGATCAGAGTCGCACTAGCCCATCAAGGAGTAATTAGCCAACACATGCTAACACTGACCAATCCGGGCAGTTATAAAGCAAGGGCATAGAATTGATATTTGCATCCAGCACATATATAAGATTATACATATATATATATGTGTGTGTGTGCAGCCAAGCCATGGTTCCAGAGCTAGACTAGACTTGGAGCTCAGACTTGAACTCAGGGCCCTTTGGAGATAGAACAGCTCGGATTCACTGAAAGTTGCATGGAATGGCAAGATGCAGACTGAAGCCCTGTTCAAGGGAGCACTGAGCACTGAAGAAAGCCCTGTGCCACACTTGGAGCACACACTTGGAGCCCCAATAGCATGTAGCTTGACCGTCCAGGTAGGTCAACCAAGCTCAAGGAGTGGAGGACGCACGTGGACTCGAGTGCAAGTCATGCCGGTAGGTCAACCAAGGTAATTATCCTGGTTTGGACCATTTTGGACCCACAGCCATGTGAGTGATGAGCTAACGGCATGTTTGTTTGCAAAGCCCGGAGGTTTGCCAGCCCCATCGCTGCTTCCTGCTTGGTGGGAAGAACTGGGCTTGGTGCGGTCAGATGTCTCAATTGCATCGCGCTGAGCCTCAGGCGCAGAAGAGGGGAACAACAGGTGGAGACTCCCAGCGTGTGGGCACGAGCAAGTAAACGTAAACGACTTGATGACATGACAAGAGCATGCTTGCACTGGAAAGTGTCTGGCAGGGGGGAAGAGCCTACTGCTGCCTTCTCGCAGGGATGTGCTGCTGCGTGCCCAGCAGGATTCATGCTGCAAAGCCCGTGCAGAACAGTCATGTGGCCTCATATCAAGTACACCGAGCATGGTATGTTCCGTGCTTGATCTTTCTGGAGCCCTTGAAACCTTGTAATTAGAACTGTCATGTGACTGTGAACAATGCTGCATGGACTAAGCATGGCATGTTAAGATCAGAGCTGGCCATAACTGGCCCATCGCCATCACGTTTCTCGGTCCTGCACCGCATTGGCTGCGCAGCCAGTGAGGGTCGGGTTAGACTTCGCCCGCTTGTTCGAGGTCTGTTTTGAAGTCTTGAGTTTTTCGATCAGCCGATTTCGGCAGCCCCTTTTCGAAGGATGCCTTGGAGATACTGGGCCTTGGGCACGGCATGTTTGGTCAGAATATTCATGCCAAGCCGAACCCAGCAGATAGAAGACTCGACAGCTTAACTCTCAAAGGACACGCGCATTATATATTTAATGAGTTATAGCAATCTAGATCATCTCAATTGAGAGTGGATCTTTTTCACTGCGGAGCAAGTGGTCCAGTGATCCGTGTTTCAGCTTGGTATCTCTTCAGGTACTGCACAATTAAAAGACCATGGTCTCACCCCAAAGGGGTGTCCTTCCACAAAGTAATATCAACTATTTTCGTGGAATCAGATGTCTCCAAAAAGTGCGGGCGTGTTTTCGGAACCGGTCTGTTCTCTGAAATGAAGGCCTTCACTTCTTCAAGACCCGGTTCTTTGATCGCCTCCAGCGTAGCATGTAAACCACACTCCTGTGATGGAGTGTCTTGAGGTGAGGTCAGGGGAGTCAGCCTAAAGGGCAGCGGCATAACTTGCCCTGGAAATAGTGAAAGTTGATTGGACACTTGGTGTTGAACTATGAGAAGCTTCAGCTACAAGTCTCAGCGTTTCTGAGGGCTCAGCCTAAGAGTCTTGAGAGCCGTCAGCTTCAACCTATAGAGACTCTAGGCATCTCCAGACAATCATGATGTACCAAATTGCTTTTTCACCGCATTTCTTCCATCAAGAATTGAGCAACAAGACCCTTCTCGTGGGACAGTCACTTCCAACGAAACGGTTATCACCAGCTCTGAGCTGTGTCGCGGCTCCGGTGGGAGACGTCTCCAAAGCCTGGGACGATGGCGGCGATCACGGCCTCGCCCAGCCGTGTCTGGGTGAAAGAAAGGCCGCGAGCCGTGGGAAGGCGCATGGGAAGACCTGGCCAAACCATCTTCATAACAATTCAATCCATTAACCGCTTTTGTTCGAGGTCACTCCGGAGTGCACTTGAAAGCGCATGCAGTTCTTGATGTTGCTGCGCATCAGTCGGTTTGTTGCATCGCAGTGGCCCATGCAAACGACCGTCGCGCAGGAGCCGCACGTTGAAGCCTCCGGGCCCAACTGCCTTGGTCTGAGCCCCTTGCAGCGGACAAATTGGCGCCACGGTGTAGGTCGACTGCGCGTGACGCCAGGCCCTGTGGTCCAAGACCTCGCAATGGGCCTGTATTCTGGCCTGCTGCAGCAAGTCAGGTGCAGAGAATGGACATTTGCGAGGAGAGTGTAGTATGAGACGAAGAGGCTTGCGTAGGTTCCCAAAACGTGAAAGGCGAAGCATGGCGCAGCATTGACATGGAAACAATACCAGGAATCTAAAACCCTCTAAAGCCCATTGGCTCTTCACAAAGCTGTTCCTGGCCTTTCTTCACCAGGTACTGGTAGTTGGTCGAAGCCACTGCTCGTGGCCCGATGGTTTCATTATGTTTCAGTGGCCAGGCTACCATTCCCGTCGCTGGCGCGCACGAAGTGCAGTGGCCGGACGCTGAAGTGCTTGGGGGGAAGTGATGAGAAGATCTGTGGGAACATGCATACCTGTGCCATTTTTGGACAGGACGTTTTGATAAAGGACGGCGATTTGCATTGAGACCTGACGCTGCTTGGCACATTGTTGCATTGTATTTGTCTGAGATATTCTTCATCGCTCCGCAGCCTGGCTCAAGCCATGCGCAGCGCAGAGCAGGAGGGAGAAGCCAATGAGGCGAAGGAGGTGAAAGAGCCAAAGAAGGAGCTTGTGACATCCGGTAGCTTACAAAGACTACTCAGTAGATCCAGCTCCGAACATAATGTGCGTGTGCGGGGCGGAAGCAAAAGACATTCATTGCTATATGATGTTCGCTTTTGGGGTGTCCTGTTTGTTATCGCGGTCTCGCAACACCCAGACAAGGAGAACGACACCGGCAACAAGAAGAAACCAGCTGCGGCCCCCGCTGCGGCCGCGGCTGCCCCTCCTGATGAGAAGAAGAAGGAACAGCAGAAGGACAAAGAACCTCCAGCCAAAAAGAAGCAGGACTGAAGTTCTCATCAAGAATCCATGTCTTTGAACATGTAGTATCAAGTTGATATGCCATGTGCCGTTGCTATGCAAACTTCACTACGAAGAGTATGGTGAGGAAGAGTTGTCCTTATATGCCCTCTCAAGGACCCTTTGTCTGATGAGGTGTGAAGTTTGGGGCTGGAAGCTGTTGGGATGTCCATTTCACGCGGGAAGTGTGCACCCTAGAGGTAAGCCCTGGTAAGCCACTGGCACAGGGCCTCCTGATAGAACCGTAATTAGCCACGTGCTAACGACCTGGAAACGCAATCCACGTGTAGCCATGAGCATGGTGATCGTCCTGGCGGCGAAGTGCTTGGGTCCAAGGTCCAACGCTACATACGTAGCTAGGTCCCCATCATGTGCTGCCTTTAGAAGCCTCAGTTTGGGTGGACCTGCTGGACACTTGGATGAGATGCATGTCATCACATAGTCTCATACGAAAGACATTGCTTGCAGTCAGTCCGCTGAAAAACCCTCGCTTTGACAGGTTGTGACTCAGATTGCTCAGTCCAAGTACGAGGCGGATCTGTGAAGTGAAGAAAACATAGTGACATGGTGTTTCTCGGAAACTGCTCTTCTATGAAGCCTCGATTGAGTTACTGTAGCAATGCCTCGGCACCTGCATTGTCGGATACATGGTGTGGTTGGTGTATGCATGTCATTTGGGTGTGCCTCAGATTAGGGAGAACGCCACACTAAAGTCACTAAAGCTTTCTTTTGGGCTGTTTCCTATTTCCAATGCACACACGCACACACCTTTGAAAGCTATAGATGCATATCTCCATGTTTCGGACCGACGTCGGATTTGACCCAGCAGGCACAGGAGGACAAGCTCAAAGATGTCGCCCGTCATTCTATGGCCTTGATCCGCACCTGGGCTCATCGGCGCCCGCCACTGGTGTCATGCCACCTGTTCTGGCATACAAAACCAACGTAGTGGACCTGAAAACCTCCAACTGAAGGAACCCCACTGATGTCACAGATGCCTCGGTCCGCCGTATGTTGCTGAAAACGTCCCTAGTGCTTAGCGGACCCAAACCACCACAAGGCAGGAAAGATCCCCAAACGAAGTCTCAGAAACGTGCACTTGGACGTCTCAGGGTTTGCACCGCAGGTGGTGCCATGGTGGTTCGGCAAGAATCGCCCACACGGAAGACGAATCGCCCACCAGGCGACCAGGTGAGAAAGATGGTGCATTTGACAGGACAAGACGCAGCCAGCACCACTTTCTTGCTCTTCTGTATCAAACGAAACGGGATACTGTAGACTTAAATGCATAGGTTTGCATGCAAGCGGCGACAGGTTTGCACCAAGACCTCCATGGCATCATTCCAATCCAGAACGTGTTTGTTCTTATAACTGGCTGGACGTAATTTCTTCTTCATAGCTCAACCTCGACTTCTGTCGAAGCATACAATCTTGCAAACCGTACGCCTCCTCTCAAAGTCTGATTGCAGGGAGTTGTATGCCGGTATAGTACGCCAGTGTATGCCGCAATTTGTCCCGCAGTATGTAGCCGGAGATCCTGTGATGTTTCACAACACTGATTGTCAGTCTCTTCACTTAGATGCTCAAAACTACACTGCATCTTGTAGGAAAAGATGTGAAGTAGGCGTGCCTTCAAGTGCGTTACCAAACAAAGCTTCGAAGGCTTCGCTGACCCGAAGAAGACGCAAGTTGTTGATCCGATTCTTTCAAGCTAAGAGGTATCAAGCATGACTGGGCTGAAGCCAAGGGGACTTCCATAAGATGGACGAGCAAGACTGTTTCCGAAAAATTGCGGATATACAGTGGCTTGGTCGCAGTCCACTCAGAAGCGACTAAGGCAAACATGGCAATTCGGGTGGGGTTGGGAGCTTCACCAGATTCAACACCTTTGGCGAAGCCAAAAAGGTATGGATTTGGTGCTCAGACCCATCGCGAGTATTGAATGTTAACTAGGGCTTGATCGCACGCCGCAGTTCCAACACCATATTGAAAGTTCAGTTAGAAGACAAAGCGTGAACATCGTATTTCGAGCCCAGAAGGCTGGTCAACTTCCCTGATCCCCCAGCTCTCACCCTGAGGAGATGTTTGGTGAAGTACGAGATGCAATACATCCGTGCTTGGGAGATTGAGGATAAGCGCCGGCAACGCGAACTGCTGGACTTGGAAGTGATGCGGCTTCGCTTTCGGAAGGCCTGGGAGGGGACAAAAAGAGGGGTGAGGGATGCTCCGGTGTAGACTCTTGATCCCAAAAAAAACTCCATAGGAAGTGGTTTTACAATACAAATTGGGGGAGTTTTGCTAATCAGCAGTCTACATGAATATAAATTAAACGGATGGATCCAGCTATATCCAACTATATACTTACTTGAGAAGCTAGTTGGATCCAGGCCATCAGAGCCCTCACTCACTTTGATTCAACACTATCCGTTACATGCAACGCCGTTCTTTTAGCTTTCATGAGTCGGGGGTGCCTTCTTGCGCACTAGCCGTCACTAGCCACTGCGCCACTCTGAGTTGCCAGCGCCAGCGACGCTGTCAACCTGCGCCGTCAGGAGGGCGAAGCCGAAGAAAGTCAATTGGAAGGGCAAAGAGAGGCACAGACACCTCATCATCGCAGCTCCTTGTTCGCCTGCCGCAGTCTCCCTTGCCTTTTGCTTAAGTTGCTTCTTCAGCGTGGATAAGCAGATGGCAGATGACCAGTCATCAAACAGAAAGAGTCAAGTCACATTCCATCCTTTTCTCGCTTCTTGTGTGCAACTGGAGTTCTGGGAGGTGCTGCAGAAGGGACTGGCCAAGCGGAAGCGCTATGAGGGCCCCTTGGCAAGGTTTGTTTGATTGACATGTTTTTTTTGACCAGGTAGCCAGCTCGGTTAGATCCTGAGAAGTAGTAAGTTTGTATGCGTAATATATATATATATATTTGCAGTCAGGGATCAGAACTCAGTATGCAGAGCAGAAGATGTGTGCTGCCTTTAATCTTAAGAATTTGCCAAAACGCCGGGAAGCGATGGGGCCCAAGCGATGCCCTACCAGAACAGGAAGGATGAACATGGATGAACATTGTTTCCTTTGAGATCCTTTGAGTACTTGTGGACACACATACCCTAGCTTACTGTTGAACAATGCCGCAAGAACTGCAAGAAAGCGATGCCTGCCCTCCAAGCTGATGTCTAGACTTGTCCAAAACTTGGGGAGTGATGGCCTTGTTCCGATGGCCGCCCCCAGTGCACCAATGCGGACGTCTCCAGTGGAGAGCGGTGCGTTAAGGACTCAGACATCACGACGCGGCGAGGTTCTCCCCAATTCTCGGGTTTGACCCGGAGCACGTGCACCCCCTCGTGAGGGGCCTTTGAACATCACTAGTGGGTTGCTTTTTCGTTGGTCATGGGTGGGGCTGCATGGGAGACTTCTCTTGTATGGCGGTCGACTTGGTGAGGCTATGAGGAGTTGTCGGCCTCGGTGAACACCAAGCGGCCGCAACACGAGTCCAAGGCTCACCGTTAAGTCGGACAAGACAAGAGGATATGAGAGGTCATGGGCCGTCGAATGCTAGGCAAAAAGAATAGGATAGAAGTTCACCAAGGGTGTCCAGGTACGTTGGGGGCACCGTCTGAATGCTATATGTGAGGCTTGAAGTCTTTCAGCACCTACATCGATCGAGCACAGCGCCTTTTGGAGAAAAGCCTGCAGGAAGTGGTCGATATGAGATCTATGGAGGGTCACCTTCGGTTTGGGGAGCACATTCATGCTGCAGGACCCTAGGCACGTTGACCACGTTCACTTACTCCAATTCCTAACGGGGAACGGTACGTCTAGTTAGTTCTTGAGCCTTGAGGCCGAGGTGGTCAAACACCCGGTGAAGGCCAACAGGTGTCCAGTTAGTTTAAAAGCGTACCATAGGCGTTGCGTTTGGACGGTTTTCCAATCTCAACGCTGTCCTGGGTTCCAGAGGCGCAAATTCAGAAGCTAACTGTGGAGCTCCAGCAAATGGAGCAGCAGCAGAAGCGGTTGGCCGAACTCTCTCAGCATCGGGATGAGCCAGGGGGCCTCAGTCGCGAAGTGGGGTTTGAGACATCAACAGTTCCAGAGCATTGAATACTCATGAGGCAACGAACCGGGGCCCCACCCGTTTTGAAATGCACAAGTGGTGAGACACTTGGAACTCTCCAATCAACTGGCCAGCAATGGGCTTTGTGTTGCCGGGACGGGGGTTGTGGGAAGTCACAGGAAGCTGTGAGCTGCATGAGATGTAGTTTGTTTGCTGTTGCTCATTTCTGCAGCAAATTAGGAGAAGCAAACTGCTCATGAAGGCCATAGAAGAGCTGGACAAGGACACCTCGAGAGCTGGCAGGTGTCTAAAGGCCCATGCTGCCCTGCAAGTTCTGAGTTATGAGGGCCCACTGCCCTGCACACACTGAGAACTACATCCCTGCCCTTGGCCAAAATTCAGGAGCCTATTTTCCCTGATCATGGCAAATACCCGTGTGTTGTGGGTGGTGGTGCGGACCATGAGTTTGCGAGGATTTGCTAGCAGAGCAAGAGTTCCGCTTCGAGAATTTTGGGCCTGATGAGCCCGAGGCAGGTGAGAGTTCAGCTGGTCAAGCCGAAACCAAATTTCAATGTGCTGTCATCATGTGGTTTTGAGCCGCACCGGTTTGAGCTGCCTCCGGTTTGGAGCCGTGATGTATTAGACATTGGGAAAAGGTGGGTAAGCTGGAAGCATGCGCATTATCGCGCATTGTTTCTCGCATTTGAGCTTCGCATGGCGTTGCATGATACCCTCTAGACCCTAGGTCTTTGCCATGCGAACCGCGTAGGGTACGGTTGGTTGATGCAAACCCAGACCCGCGCGGTAGCTTGTGGCGGACGATTGGGCGGGTGAACGCGTACATTATCATACATCGATCTTGCTCCGTGTAAACTGCGTAGGCCAAGGCTCCTTGGGCGAGAGAGCCAATTGCCTTTGTGGCTTGAAAGAAGCCGTGGTAATCAGAAAGTAGCTCCAACGAGCGCCCTCATGGAAAGACCGTCTAAATCTAAATTGTGTTTTCTCAACGGATTCATGATGATAAAACCATTAAAGTACTATATTTACTAATATATAACCTTCTGAAACTAGGAATGTGTGCAAGAAGCTGTGGAGACTACTGCACTGTGCTCCCAAAGAGTATGCAGTACCCAGCACACCTTCCAATGCAATATACGGTACTAACTATACAATCCATTCGATGGTCGGCATCATCCCAAACCATCGTTTGTGCAAGGCTGCTGATTCGAATGGAACTGCTGGCGAACCACCCGTAGCAGAGCTGGTGGAGCTGGTTTCATAGGCAAGTGTCAACCCTTGCCCAAAACGCTAGCGGATTGCCAACAGGCAAAACATAGCAATTCTTGAAAGGATTGTCGGATTAGTGGCGGGAGTGCGGCAGGCACAGAATGGCTAGAAAGCGAGTCAAAAGTATGCGAGACGTTTTGACCGTTTCCGCACAATGATGGTGAAAATTGGTGACAAAGGCAGAAGTGCATATCAAGCAAGACTCCTGCGGCAAAGCCTAAATTTTCCAAGGTGCTCAATGTATGGCTTAGATCATGGCAAGCAAGAGCTTCATGAATTTTGACTTCATCAGTTATGACTTCCCAGTTATGGCTTCATCAGTTATGGACCCGAAAGGGTGGCCTCCAAGCTTTGCATGGCTCAGATGGGGCAAACAAGTGCTTTCCCCACGGGTGCACCATGGTCTTTCCCATGTTTCAAGAGTGGAACGCCAAGGCAACCGATGACGGGATGGGAATCCAGGTGCCGCACTGGCGGATTGGCCCATGCTTTCAGGGCGCGCGGATGATGATTTTGGTTTGGCTGGGTTGGTTGGTCATGCCAGAGCCTCTTAGGCCCTTGCACAACAGATCAAAACAGGTTTGTCAATTTTGGTTGTGTGCATCTCATGGTTGGGAACTTGGGAGCCAGGGAGCCAAGAATTTGATGTTCAATCAAGAAAAAGGATATGCACTGTGAGCACCAGTCAGGAACAGTCGGAGTGAGAGCAAGAGCGAGAAAGAACATGATAAAATAATGACAAGCAAAGAGGAACCAGACTTTGCAGAGAGAGAGAGAGGATTCAGTCCCTCCTTTCTGTCAGAGTGAGAACAGCTCCGTTTTCAGCATAATTACTGTGTGAGGTGGCCACGCCTCCTGTCATGGGTGGTCCAGTTGGAGAGGTGCAGCTGCACCCAGCTGCGTTTTGACACTTCTTGAGATCAGTTCTCAGTGACATTTTGCTAGAAGCCTTGGAAGCAGGGGTGGTTTGTCCAAGCACGCTGTCACTTCTGCGTTTCAGACGTTTCTTATTGATCCCTAGTGAGTTGAGGTCAGCTTAGAAGGACGCCGCATTTTTCGTATTAGCCAGCCAGTTTTTGGCTCAGACAAAGCATTTGTCCTGCAAGTCTGCCTCCTTTCGTTGTGCTTCTGACATCTCCATCCAGGCGGCTCAGCATGAAGGAATCTTGAATGAAGGGACTCTTCTTCATCTTTGCCATGCTTGGTGTTGCCTTGCAAGGCTGCGGCTGCAATGAGGATGGAATGACCACCTGCGCCGCCAACCCGGTCACTGATTGCACAAGTGCAGTAGCGGCTATGCGGCTATGATGTGCATTCCCGACAACGGTTGCTGCGACATTGAAGTGAACGTCAATGGAGTCAAAGTCAGGGCCGGGGATGCAATGATCAGTTCTGAAGTAGCTGCAGTACTGAAATCAGAAGGATGCGCCATTCTGACCGGGGATCCTTGCGGATAGACGCGCTTGATTGCCAAGAGTGCGGCAGGGGCTTTCAGTGGCACAAACAAGATCGTTTCTCGCACATGGACTCGGCTCGTGAGCCAGTGAATAGAGCAATGGTGGCTTTGCTAGAAGCCTTGTGCGGTATTGTTGTCCATGGTCGTTACTGTAGATTTTTTGGCCAGAACGTGAGCAGGGTTTTTTTTGTTGCAGCCGATGCTGAATTGAACTTTATTGCTGATGGATTGGCAAGAGGTAGCACGACCTTTGTTGAACTCATGCTTCAATGGCCAGACCCTTGCTTTGCCCACAGGTGCCGTTCGAAGAACCCGACTTCCAGGACTGGGAGATGGCACACGTCATTGCTAAGGAAGTGCAGTTCATTGAATTGCCTCATAATAGAGAAGTCTCGTGGCATACCCTGCCTACCTGCCACATACCGCCGTAGCAGATCCTTACAACATCTTACACATACATACAGTCGTAATAATTACTGTAGGTAAGACCATGATGGTTCCTTGTAGGTTCCCCAGTCACCATGAGTCTGAGTAGATCTTGGGTGCTTAATAAGGCCTTTCTGTGTGTGCAACCCTTGGAACTTGGAGTCAGGGCTTTTCTGGGCTTAGGGAAGCATCCACTGGCCATGGATGTGTCCTGACGTGTATACACCCAAGACTACAAAAGGGTAATTATATTGTCGGCAGACTTGTTTGTCGGTTCTCTTTCTCTTTCTCTACCGCTATGAGTGGTTCTTTCGCTATAACGGGGTTTATTGCTTGCCTATACTGCAACATGAGGCTTTCCATTCTTTGACATGCTTACTGTACAAATACTATCGAGCGATTCGTTTGTGTGCACTTGCAGCTTGATGCTATGCACATTGTACCATGACACTCTTGACTTTGGACTTGCTATTTGATGCTTGACATCTTGTACCCATGCAACTTTGGAACTGAGACTTTTTGGTGTCGGGATTTGAGACCACCGACCTGTTTCCTTACGCCTCTTTCATGCTAAGGTTTCCTTGTGGCGTGAGGCTTTAGATTTTACGCATCGTATCTCGAGTGTCTCAGTGTGTCTCTCAATCTTTGAAAGCCCAGGTGGGCCCGAAGTAGTGCCCTCTGTGGCCCAGCCAAGTTGGGGGTGAAGTTGTGGTGTGCAAGCAACAGCAGGAGTCCGCAACAGATAGCACGAGCCATTGATGGCAAGCGTTGCATAAGACTTAACAACTCGCTTTGACTGGAGCAGGCCTCTGAGCCTAAAGGGGTCCGTAGCGGACAAGAGTCTAAGAACACAAAACCTGCGTCGTGGCCCGCGCGATGCGCTCAAAAAAATGAGAAAGTCCAGAAAACCATTTCGTGGCTTCATAAGCTGTTTGTAGGTTTCTCACATTTTCTTGTTGGTCTTTGAACATCTTTGAACCAAAAGCAGCAAGAAAGCCGAGAATACCGTTTTCGCCGTGTTTGCGTTTTTGCTGCTTTCCTGTTTTCGCCGTTCTCCTGTTTTCGCGGTTTTCGTGCTCTGGCTCATCTCGTGTTTTCGCGGGTCTCGCATTTAGTCGTAGTCGTAGTCATTCTCTCTCTTTCTTTTGTGGTGCACTGATTAGGTTTGGCACATTGGTTGTTCCCAGTCAGCTGGTTTCGTGTCTATCGCCTCCACAAACACACACTGCGCTCTTTTTCATGTCGTCCCTTCATGTCTTTCCGCTTGTCTTCTTTTGCGCGCGTATTGTTCCTTTGTCCCGCTCACTATAGCAGGAGGCTCTCCATTCTTTGACTTGCTTACCTATACCATCGAGCGATTCATTTGTCCCGCTCGCCGATTGGGGACTCGCATTTGGGATTTGTAGCGGCTGCAACTTGATGTTTTGCATTTTTTGCCATGAACACTTTGGGGTTCATACCACCGATACCACCTGTTCTGGGGCCTCTTTGATGCCACCTGCTTCCCTCTTTCATGCTAAGGCTTCCCTGTGGCATGATTTTTGGGTTTGAGATCGTACCATATCTGGAGTGCGTAGGAGTCCCGTAGTGGTCACAATGTTTGAGAAATGAGTTCTGAGGGGTTGGCACCCCCCTGCAACATGTCATTTTGTAGGGGAAGTAGGCATCCAGGCATGCAGTGGAATCTTTATTTTGTTGGTTTGCAGCGCTGTGAGAAGTCTTGTGTGTCCTACATCAGGGTTTTATTGAGTTTTCTTAAATGCACTGATCCCGAATAATATGTTTGCTTTTTACTATTCCCAACCCCGTGAAACCAGGGTGGATGATATTTTCCAAAACCGATGTAAAGGGCTGGTGGAATCATCAAAGTATTATTCCCCAATAGCCATGCTATGGGGTCTTGCAAAACTAATAGGCGGACGGGCGCCGTCGGGTCACCGTCAGAGCTGGTGGGCGGATGGTGTCCCGGTCATGTTTTGATGGCGTCCGGGTCATGTGATGCTGGTGTCCCGGTCATGTTTTGATGGTGTCCCGATCATGTTTTGATTGTGACCCAGTCATGTTGTGATGGTGTCCCGGTCCTGTTTTGATGGTGTCCCGGTCATGTTTTGATGGTGTCCCGGTCATGTTGTGATGGTGTCCCGGTCATGTTTTGAAGGTGTCCCGGTCATGTTGTGATGGTGTCCCGGTCATGTTGTGATGGTGCCCCGGGCATGTTTTGATGGTGTCCCGGTCGTGTTGTGACGGTGTCCCGGTCATGTTTTGATGGTGTCCCGATCATGTGATGGTGGCGCGGTCATGTTGTGATGGTGTCCCGATCATGTTTTGATTGTGTCCCAGTCATGTTGTGATGGTGTCCCGGTCGTGTTTTGATGGTGTCCCGGTCATGTTTTGATGGTGTCCCGGTCATGTTGTGATGGTGTCCCG